AAGGACAGGAAGGGAAAGAGGGATGGGGGTGTAGCTTTATATGTCAGGGAAGGGATAGGATGCAGCACAGATGGGTATTCGGTAGAGGCAGTCTGGGTGAAATTTAGGGGTTTTGCCAGGGAAAGAGACCTGACAGTGGGGGTATGTTATCGCCCTCCAGGTCAACTTGAGACCCTGGATGATGTCCTGACACATCAAATTCTAAGGATATCTCGGGGGAGGAACACAGTAATTATGGGAGATTTCAGTCTCCTGGATATTAGTTGGGAGACTCACTCAGCGATGATAGCCGGGTCACGTCGCTTCCTAGAAGTTATAGAAGGAGGGTTTTTCACACAGGGTCCGAGAGGCGATGAGGGGGGGAACATTCTTGACTTGGTCTTGACCAACAGGGAGGAGCTGATAGATGAGGTACAGATTAGGGGAGCTCTGGATGTGAGTGATCACTCCATCCTTTGCTTTGAGATCGGGACTGGGGACATGCAGCAGGTCGAGCACTAGAAGCTGGAACTTCAAGAGGGCCAACTTTGACCAACTGAAGGCCACACTAGGGAAAGTCTTGTGGGATAGGTTACTGGAGGGCAAGCCAGTTGAGAAAGGGTGGATGCCACTCAAAAGGGAAGCTTTGGAGGCATAAGCCTTGATGATACCTCTAGTTAGTAAGGCGGGGAGGTGATGGAGACTGCCACCATGGATGCGAAAGGAGGTTGTTAGAGGGATTAGATGCAAGAGGAACCTCCATAGGAAATAGGTATTGGGGCAAATAGGCAAAAGGGTATACTGGAAGGAGGAGGCCCGTTGCAGGATTCTTCGCAAGGCTAAGGCTGATTACGAGCTGAGACTTGCCAAGAATATCAAGAGCAGCAAAAAAGGGCTTCTTTCAGCATGTAAATAGGAATAGGAAGGGGAGACAAGTAGCAGGACTGCTAAATAAGGAAGAAGAAGATCCAGTGGCTGATACAAGGGAACGGACACAGATGCTAAATGACTATTTTGCCCCTGTGTTCTCCCCAGAGCAGGATGGGGGAGATCCGCATAGGAGATTAGATGAGGCTGCGGACTTAGGGGCACAGATTAGAGTCCACCCCCCCCAGAAGTCGCGGGGCTCCTCAGGGCATTGCACGTTACAAAGGCACCAGGTCCTGACAGGTTACACCCGAGAGTACTTAGAGAGTTGGCAGGGGTTCTCTCACACCCGCTGGCCTCCATTTTTGAGGCCTCACGGAGAATGGGTGAAGTTCCAGAGGACTGGATTGTGGCATCAGTGGTCCCAATTTTCAAAAAGGGTAGTAGAAGGGACATGGGGAATTATAGACCTGTTAGCCTTACATCCATTGTAGGAAAAACAATGGAAGGCTCATAATAGAGAGCTAGTGATGCTAGATAGGGAAGGGAGGCTGGCAGCCACACAACATGGTTTCTGCAAAAACAGGTTTGTCAGACAAACCTTGTGGAATTCTATGACAAGGTTTCGAGATGGCTAGAAGGAGGGGATGCAGGGGATGTTGTATACCTGGATTTCAGCAAGGTCTTTGACAAAGTGCCCCATGATATCCTGGTGGAGAAACTGAGGAGTTTTGGGATACACCAAAGCACTGTCCGGTGGATTAGGGCATGGTTGACTGACCGAAAGCAGAGGGTAACCATTAGTGGGGAATCATTGGGATGGCAGCCAGTGACAAGCGGGGTCCCCCAGGGCTCTGTCCTGGGGCTGATCCTGTTGACATGGAAGAAGGGGTGAACAGTCTGCTGATCAAATTTGCAGACAATAGTAATACTGGGGCAGTGGCCACAACTGAGGAGGAGGTACTCCAGATCCAAAAGGATCTGGACAGACTATGGAAGTGGGCAAGAGACAACAGGATGGCGTTCAATGTGGATAAGTGCAAGGTCTTGCACTTGGGGCATAGGAATAGGTGTCATAAGTACTAGTTAGGGGACAAGTGGCTGGAAAGCAGCACCTGTGAAAGGGATCCCAGAGTTTTGGTTGACTGCAGGCTGAACATGAGTCATCAGTGTGATGTGATGGTTAAGAGGGCGAACGCCACCCTTGGTTGCATAGCCAGAAGTGTGGCTTCTAGATCAAGTGAGGTATTACTACCACTCTGTACGACTCTGGTGCACCCGCAACTGGAGTATTGTGTTCAATTTTGGACCCCTCATTACAGGAAGGATATAGCCAGGTTATAGTCAGTGCAGCGTAGGGCCACAAGGTTTGCAGGAGATGCCATATGAGGTGAGACTGAGGGAACTGGGTCTCTTCAGCCTGGAGAAGAGGAGACTGAGAGGGGATCTGTTGGCGACATACAGGTATGTGAGGGGATGTCACACGGAGGCGGGTAGAAACCTTTTCTCCCCTGCAGAGGAAGGCAGGATGCTCTCCAGTGGAGCAAAGCTCAGGGAACCAAGGTTCCATTTAGATGCCAGGAAGCACTTCCTGACAGTTAGGATCCCAAGGGTATAGAGTGGGCTTCCATGGGAGGTGGTTGAGGCCCCATCAGTGAGGCTGTTCAAAGACAGGCTCAATATGCCCATGGTGGGCATGTTGTGAGCAGAGCCAGCTGGAGCCAGGGGTCAGATTAGATTGCCCAGGGGGGCCCTTCTGACTCACTCTGTTTCTATGTTTCTAATTGAGGCCTTTGAATTGTGGTGCTGGAGAAGATTCCTGCAAGTCCCTTGGACTGCAAGGTGATCAAACCGGTCAGTCCTAGAGAAGATCAACTCTGACTGCTCTTTAGAAGGCCAGATACTAAAGATGAAACTCAAATACTTTGGCCATCTAATTAAGAAGGAAGGACTCACTGGAGAAGAGCCTAATACTAGGAGCAATAGATGGCAAAAGAAGAAGGGGACAGCAGAGAATGAGGTGGCTAGATGGAGTCACTGAAGCAGTTGGTGTGAGCTTAAGTGGACTCCAGGGGATGGTGGAGGACAGGAAGGCCTGGAGGAATGTTGTCCATGGGGTTGTGAAGGGTCAGACGCGACTTTGCAACTAACAACAATTACATACAGACAAAGGCTTATGTATCACAGCAAAGAGAGTAGCTCTAAGAGTGCCCAATAATAGTCTTCCAAAAAATGTAGAAAGAAAACTAGAACAGAGCACATGGCCTCGATTTCTGTATGCCTGGAGTATGGGAAACAAGCTTCATGAACTTGAACTCTTAATACAGGAGGGTGAATATAACCTGATAGGTATAAGTGAAAGTTGGTGGAATAATTGCCCTGACTGGAATTCAACAATTAAAAGAAGTAACCTGATCTAGAACAAAAGGAATAGAAAGGAAGATGGAATCGTACTCTTTGTTCAAGATACATATCTTTGCACAGAAATGCAAGAATATGAGCTTAGTAGCCCCATTGAGAGCATCTGGATTAATATAAACAGCAGAAGGAATAAAAGGAACACAGTGGTTGGAATCTATTACCAGCCATCTGGTCACGGAGGTGACAAGGATGAAATTTTTGAAAAGCAAATTGCCAGTATTTTGAAATTTTTGAAAATTTAAAATTTTTTTTGACAATTTAATTTTTGAAAAGCAAATTGCCAGTATTTGCCAAAGTTTTTAGTGGTAAACCAGAGCAGGGTGCCAGTCTGGTTTAATTATAGGTTGAAATTCCATAGCTGTTTTTTCTCTAAGATACAGTGTAGCCATGTTAATCAGTGCTTGTTTAAACACATTCATGAGAGATGTAGAATGGCTCAAAGAAAAGACTTAATATACAGAAAAATTCACTTATGTACGAAAAGGTATGAAAATGGTAGTTTAAGACACTGAATCACTCATATAAGCAATAAGTCTCCCAGATAGTGACTTACAATTTAGGCTCCGTTCACCCATACTTTCTTTGGTCTTTGAGTCCCTGCCTCCCATTGTGCATGTGCTGGGTGTCAATGTGCTGTATTAATATTTAGTATATTTAATTTACATTAATTTTTAAAATGTTATTTAATAAATATAAAAACCATTTCAATCCTCCATAAATTCAATATTCAACTTAATTTTCCCTCCCCATAATACAGAAAATATGTTAGTTCCTTCATGAACAACTTGTTCCATACTTTTTCAGAACCAGATCTCCAGTTCTGATATGTGATATCTTATCAATTTTAAAATACATTCTGTAATCAGTAAGTCACTGACCATGAATTGTGTTTTGTCTGTCTACCATTTTTAAGATAATTCACCAGTCACTTTGAATCATGCTTTCCTACAATAATTGTCCTTGCATATTCAATTACAGGAATGAAACTTCCTGCTGTTGGCTGTCTGTGTGGATGTTCTGAGGCAAAAGCACCTTTAAGAATTTGTTGTTTGTTTTAACAAATTTCTGTCCCTATCCTGAAAAGAGAGGTTTTGCAAATTGTTTTTCTAGTATGTAGTCCAAGTACAGTCTATTTGTACAAAATGCATTTTCTGCATAATTCCCTTCGCCAGATGTTCACTCTTCTCCAAATGTGCATGATATGACAAAGCCAAAAAATTATAGCAGCATGTTCTTCCATCAGAGAAATGAACTTCTTGATCAGGGTATATATATTGCTAAGCATATGTCTTGGTGCAGAGTTAGTCTGAACCCTGAGTTCCCTTGCAACAGTGAGGGTGGAGTGGAAACAGGTTGGAGAGCAGTGCAATTTGACTCTCAGTTTAAATAAAACTATTTTAATTGGTTATGTTATTTGCCAGTATCCTGGGAGAGATGTCCAAAGGAATTTAGGCTTCAGATTAGTCCTGTCACTAACTCTGATTCTTTTTGACCCCTCTATTTCACCTTTTTGAAGTTGCACTGGCAGTGGGGATATTTGCATATAACATTGAATATGACCTTGCACCATCACTGGTAACTCAGTGCCAGTGTATCTCCCAAATTTATTGGTGCAGAAAACTTACACCTAAGGGGTTCTATTTGGCATATACATATAAGATTGCACCTAAATTTAATTCTTGATTAATGTAAATATTTAAACATTAAAGGTTCTTTTTTATATACATCATTAGGGCATGAAAGGAACAAAAGGAATGAGGGGAGAAAATGGAATTCCGGTAAGTTCATAGAAATAAACTAAGCATAATTTCTCTTGTTATTAAACTCATCTGCAATATTTCAGCAGGAAGGTGATGAGTCCTTACATTCTGTTGCCTTAGGCATAGGAAAATTTTATAGGCACATATTTTATCAGAAGCCGTTTGCTTTTCTCCCCAGTTTTTCTGGCAGACAGTTCACATCATATCCCTGTGAAAAAAGGAAAGAAAAGGAAAATTCTGCCCCTGCCTTTTTCTTAGCATTATAATATCGATTTTGTTTATACAAAATTGGTTCCAAAAACAGGTTACTAGCAAGGAATAGTAGATGAAAAAAGGAAAACATGAGACAGAAGGAAAAGGTACAAATAACAGAGTTTGATGTGAGAGAATCTTTGATACTGTTCACTATGAATCAAGGCAAGCTGGACATGGTCAAACAGGAGATGACAAGACTGAACAACGACACAATGAACAGTGCAAAGAAATAGAAGAAAACAATAGAATAGAGAGGACCAGAGATCTCTTCAAGAAAATTGGAGATACAAAGGGAACATTTCATGCAAAAATGGGCATGATAAAGGACCAAAATGGCAGGGACCTAACAGAGGCAGAAAAGATTAAGAAGAGGTGGCAAAATTACACAGAAAACTATACAAGAAAGAGTTTAATGTCCCTGATATCCACGACAGGGTGGTCACTGACCTCTGAGCAACAACAAAGCTATTGGAGGTGACAGTATTCCAGCTGAGCTATTCAAATTCCTAAAATATGACGCAGTACTACACTTAATATGCCAGCAAATTTGGAAAACTCAACAGTGGCCATAGGATTGGAAAAGGTCAGTTTACATTCCAATCCCAAAGAAGGGCAATGCCAAAGAATGTTCGAACTACCTCACCATTGCACTCATTTCACATGCTAGCAAAGTTATGCTCAAAATCCTACAAGCTAGGCTTTAGCAGTATGTGGACCGAGAACTATCAGAAGTACAGGCAGGATTCCGAAGAGGCAGAGGAACTAGCGATCAAATTGCCAACATATGCTGGATCATGGATAAAGCTAGGAAGTTCCAGAAAAACATCTACTTCTTCATTGACTATGCTAAAGACTTTGATTGTGTAGATCACAGCAAATTGTGGCAAGTTCTTAGAGAGATGGGAGTACCAGACCATCTTAAGAAACATGTATGCAGGTCAAGAAGCAACAGTGAGAACTGGACATGGAACCACTGATTGGTTCAAAATTGAGAAAGGCGTTTGGCAAGGTTGTATACTGTCGCCTTGCCTTACATGCAGAGCACATCATGAGAAAGGTGGGGCTAGATGAATCACCAGTTGGAATTAAGATTGCTGGGAGAAATATCAACAACCTCAGATATGCAGATGATACCACTCTAATGGCAGAAAGTGAAGAGGAACTAAAGAGCCTCTTGATGCGGGTGAAGGAGAAGAGCACAAGCATTTGGCTTGAAATTCAACATTAAGAAAACTAAAATCATGGCAACTGGTCCTCTCACTTCCTGGCAGATAGATGGGGAAGAAATGGAGCTAGTGACAGATTCTATTTTCCTGGGCTCCAAGATAACCACGGATGGGGAGTGCAGCCAAGAAATTAAAAGACACTTGCTCCTTGGGAGGAAAGCTATGGCAAATTTAGACGACATACTAAAAAGCAGAGACATCACCCTACCAACAAAGGCTATGGTTTTCCCAATTGCAATGGCCGTGAGAAATGGACCATAAGGAAGGCTGAGCGCTGAAGAATTGAGACCTTTGAATTGTGGTGCTGGAGGAGACTCCTGCAAGTCCCTTGGACTGCAAGGAGATTCAACCAGTCAGTCTTAGAGGAGATCAATCCTGACTGCTCTTTAGAAGACCAGATACTGAAGATGAAACTCAAATACTTTGGCCACCTAATGAAAAGGAAGGACTCCCTGGAGGAGAGCCTAATGCTGGAAGCAATAGATGGCAAAAGAAGAAGGGGTCAGCAGAGAATGAGTTGGCTAGATGGAGTCACTGAAGCAGTAGGCGTGAGCTTAAGTGGATTCCGGAGGATGGTAGAGGACAGGAAGGCCTGGAGAAATGTTGTCCATGGGGTTGCAATGAGTCGGACACGACTTTGTGACTGACAACAACAACAAGGTATCAATACAAATATTTGCCGAGGGAATTAAAATCTGTCCAAACAGAAGACAGTGTGTTTTAACTATTATTATCCAATAACTATTAGTACCCCATAGGAACTAGCCAAGTAATATTTAAATCTAACAGTGATATGTTCCCCTTAAAAATATGGCTATTAAGTCAGCAACACAACATTCAGAACTTTTTCCAGATCTCCACAACATCTTTAAGCTGCAAGTATTGGATGCAACTGCCTTTCTGAATAGTTTCACCATAAACCTGCTATGATCTTTCATGTGAGTAGTTTGAGCTGTCCTCAATAAGGAGACCTGATTATTCAATGGGTGCATTTGCACATTGTGACAACCCACCTTGGCAGTTGGCAACTTACAGTGTGCCTTACTGATGATTGGGCTCATGTAGGTAATTCACTCCTCCCTCCCACTTCTTCCCACTGAGTTTTCCTACAGTTATCCCAGGGAGTTTGCAGCAGAACCAATGTGCATCGTTCCCACACCCTAGTCAAAATTGCAAGTCTTTTTCATTCACCACACCTGTTTTGCTCCTTTGACCATTTTTTTTCTCTTGAAAATGGAAAATGCAAACTTCAAATTGGTTGTCATAATTTCCAGTCATGCCAGCCTCTGCAGTTCCTACATCACCTTGCCCCTGAGACTCAGATCCTGTTCCTTCACCAGTCCACTCACGATTAGTTTTATTATTGGTTTCTGAGTGCCCAGATCCCCCCTCCCCAGATTAGTTTAAAGCTCTCCAGGCAAAACTGCTAAACCATTCCCGAAAGTCACTTTTCCCCTCCTGATGAGGTGCACCCCGTCCCTCTCCAGAAGTCCATCAGCAAGAAACTGGTTTCCATTGTCAAGGGACCTGACAGCAGGCCCTCAGCCAGTCATTCATCTCTGCAACCTTCCTCATGTCCATGGACATGCAAAAGTGAGGAAAAGGCCACCGGAATCTTCAGGTCCTTGAGTCTCTTTCTGAGAGCCTTGAAGTCCCAAGTGATGGCTGTTCTGGCTTGCAAGTGGAGACTGCTATTGGTCGTGGGAGCTGCTTTCCTGGTGGGTGCCCTGCAACCACGTGCCCACCAAGAATATAGCCTCCATCTCCACTGCTGAGCAGCATTTCTCTTTTGTGCCAGCTACAGCTGATCCTTTGGGGTGCTGCTGATGCAGAAGAAGGTTGCCAGTTGTGCAGCCAGGGCTCAACAACTGTTCATGGACTTCATCTTGGCTTGGCAGTCTTGGGAAGACCAAGCCAAGCACAAGAAGAAATCCATGAATACTTGGAGAGATTTCAACAGGGTTCATCCCATCCTTAACCCTGATCCATGGTCAAGATCCTCCTATGCTTGCTTAAAGTGCATTCCACTTGGCAAAGATTCAAAGCAATGTTTATTTAAAAGGATTCTATCCAATGTTTTCTACAATCCAGAACAGACTTCTTAAAGATGCTGGAATTGTGTCTTTACGTGACTGTGAGGGACATGTGTGTATATCTTAAGCATGTATTTGTCCTGTTCGCATATGAAGGGGTGGTGAGAGTCTACTTCTTACACAACAGTAAGCACATGAGAAAAAGGAGTAAAACTGTTTTGACTTTGATACATTCCACAGGTACTCCATCAATTATGTAATTTTCTTCCTTCCTGGCTTATTTCTAACACTGAAGCTGAGCTAGAGAAAAACTGCCAAAAAGTAGTGAGATGAAGTGGGAGAAGAAACTGCATTTCTTTTTCTTCTTCCATGTGCAAATTTTGGTTACTCATTTTGTTACTGTACTATATGTAGTTATTACACTTAATTAGAGCGAAAGTTTTTTTTCCGTAGGGTTTTCATGCACCTTTTGCAGAAAAGGGAGAAGAAGGAGTGCCCGGCTTTGCAGGACAAAGAGTGAGTATACAGTCAAAATCAAGATGGAATTCTTTGCCATTGTCCCCATTATGATATTTTCTCCATATTTTCTCTTGTGACTATCAGGAACAGTCACAAGAAGATATGGCATGCTGGGTGCTATAGATCTCAACAGCACTTGTAATCAGTACTTTCTTTTGGGTGATTTTGGTGGTTTTACTCATGTTGAGGTGGTCTAACAGAGCACCATATTTAGCATCAGAAATGAATGGGACATATTATGGAATGTAGTATTTTAAATTGTGTGGGTTGGGTTTGTGGTGAGCTGGTAGGTGCATGTTCTTGTACAGAGATACCAAAACAGGGAAATCTGGGTCATTGGAACTTGACAGATCCTCTTGATCACTTCTGATTCAATAATGGGAATAGGCTGAGTCAGGGTTTTGTCTCTAAGGCAGACTACAATTTGTGCTTATTTTGCAATGCTAATAAAATTGCACAAACAAACACCCAAGCATATGGATCTAGCATAATATGTACAAAATTAGCAGATGTTTGCCTGCTCAGTGCCACTTGGACGCAGGACTTTCTTTTTCCTTTGGAAAGATAAGGGAGTGAAGGAAGAAGGAGAAGGTAGGAGGAGGAAAGGGAAGAAGAAGCTATAGGTATTTAGGGGATGGAGGAAGGAAGTAGAAGTGATGAGGAGGAAGGAAAGATGAGGAAGGGAAGACATAAGGAGGGAAGAAGTGGAGGAAATCCTGATTTAATTTAGGTGAAGGAAATCCCATGTGGAATCTGACTGAACACAATTGAGAGCCCATTATCGGGCCTATGCTGTGGCAGTGGGTTCCTAAAATAGTTGTACATCAAGGTAGGGGGACCAAAATGTCCCTACGCTTGACTTTTGCTTCCTTTAGAATTGGGAACTCAAGTGTGACATGGTCACATTCATCCAAAGTTCCCATAAGTTGCCACATTGTCCACTATGTCTTCCCTGTTGGTTAGTATCAAGTAAAGGATAGCCATTTCTCTTGTTTCTTCCTCCACTTTCTGTTGGAGGAAGTTATCAGCAGCATCAATCAGAAGCATCAATCAGAAGGCCATTTGGGCTGCTGTACTTGTTGCAGAAGATTGAGCTCCTTCCGCATTGCACAGAGCTCAATTTCTGGCAAACACAAGACTGGAGTCTAGGAGCCAAGGCCAGGGAACCCAAATAGAACCCTCCCACATCCCTAGCCTATCCTTGAGGCTCCTATACCACCTGAGCATTTCCCTTCAGGAGAGAGGTTTCTGCAAATCACTTCTCCCTCTCCTGTTAGGTTCCTAAAGAAGGCTGCTTGTTTCCATCTCTGCAAGGTCAAAGTTATAGCTGGATGGGGAAGATGGGTTGATTGCCACATGCATTCCCCTGAGAACTTTGATGGAGATATGATCACACTGGTCTTGGTGTTCACCCCACTGACTAGGCCCCAAACCTTTCAAGACCACTGTTGATCAAATTCTGACTATGCACTAGAAAATGCACTGTTTTATCAATATTGAGCTCTTAATGCTGGGTTTGTACAACATGGCAACTAATCATGAGCACAACCTGAGGAAAAAGCCATAGGTTGTCTGGGTGGCTTGTTGCCCTCATCTTGCAGGAGTTAGCTGTTGTGTTGTACTACAAACCCAGTCATCAGTTACATCCAGCAACAATTGCTATTCAAGCCAAGAGGAAATGCCGGTTCACATTTTCATATTAAAAGCAAGTATGTGTCCCCTTTCAAACATTTTTGCCCATACCCCATATTTGCCCCTTTGTGTTCAAAATCTAAAGTTTGCAGATTTTATTTAAGTTTGGTCACTGATAATTTCTACAGATATGCCAAATTGGTGACAGTAGTTTCCACGATGAGAATTAACATAGAAAATACTTTTTACAGAATGAGCAAACAAAAAGCATGTTTTTATTGGGTGCTTATTTTAGTCTAGTCTGGATTATTTCTCTCTACATGTGGTGGGGAGTGAGATTTTTTCAGATTCTCCATTCTCTGGATATGACTGTTCCATTTCCAGCACTTCTTCAGGTGTAATGTCTGAATAAGGTTCATACACATTTAATCTACTGTTGGCCCAAATTTGTTCTGGATAGGGTCTGTCTGTTCAAATGTTTTATCTACAGGCAGGCATCTGGGAATTTTGGTGGTGGGGCATGGTATAGTGGGAACGTGTGATCTTAATTCCCTATCTTGATTAGGGAGAAGATAAGGGGAAATAACACCTGAATTGGGCCGTTTAAATTAGGTACCTTGTTTTGAAGATTTCAGACTTAGCAAAACATACTCTAAGAAGTAAAAGATGTTTAAAATTCAGGTACATTTAGCAATTCTACTATTCTATTCTAACATTGTTCCTTTTCAATGTCACCATGCTTTTATAGGGTTTACCAGGAATCAATGGTCTAAAAGGAGCTGAAGGGGATGCAGTAAGTATGCAATCTCAGATTGTGGCTTGGGCCCTAAAATAGATTGATCTAAGGAAGTAGATGGAAGGAAAGTTTCCTGTCCCCTCTTTCTCCTTGCAGCCCTCTTTGCTCCTTAAAAACCTTCTCTGAAGAATCAAGAGTTCTCTGAAACCATATTGGAAGGCTGATAGAAGTAAGAGAATCACCTGAAATTAAGTGGATTGTAAAATCAACAAAAGGAAAACTGCCCCTGCCGTTCAGATTTATAATCTAAAGACACAATACAAAATAGAAAAGGGAAGGAGGTAAGAAGAGGAAAACAAACAAATGCAGGCACCCATTCTTAAATTTATATAGCAGTTCTGGCAATGACCAGCTAGAAAAGAAATGTATTTTCAATGCTGGACAGCATGTTCAAAACAGAAGACAGAGCAGAAGTACACAAATGGTAGAAGTTTACTCAAGAAATAAAGATGAGGAACAGGACATGGAAGATATGACTGGGGGAGAAGAGGTGTTTTGACAGAATCTTGGAATTACTTTGCTTATTGCATCAGTTATTTTTAAAGCAAAGATGGTAGGCAGGGGTTCGTCTCTGGACCACAGTCCAATCTTGACTGCCAGACCTAAGAATCTAGACCGTAAAGGTCTCTGCAGGCCACACATCCTTTTCCCATGCCACCTTAGCATCTGAGTGAAGCTCCAGCTGCCACATACAAGTCAGCTTTCCAAATTCCTCCTGACCACCAGTCTTTCCCTCCCTCATTCCCTGCAAAAGCAAGGAGAACAAGAGAGACATTAGAGGGAACCAAACAAACAAGAACAGAAAGCCAGATACAGAGTATGCACCCAGACCATAGAAAGATTTCTAGTAGTGCACTTTCTGGTGGCATGTGTGCAGGAAAATGAGGGAGGTCTCTGACCATGAGGCAGGCAACTGTAGATACTAGACTAGCCTCCCTCCAGTCTCTCTTATTTCTTCTCTATCCTCTTAGGGAAGAAGAGTGTTTCCTGAAAGTTTTGTGCACTCAGAGGAGAAAGACACTAGGAGCAGATGCATGTGTGTGTGTGCATGGATGTTTGTCTATGCATGCCCACTCTAGCCCTGCCCATTTTGTCTCTGTCCAGACTGAGTGTTGAAATGTGGAAGCCCTGGATGAGAAAAACTGGACCTCAATAGGAAAAAATGTTCTCCATCTTTGTTTCAAAGCAGACATTTTGATTTGTATTTCAGGGTATCTCAGGCCATGATGGCATCCCTGGTATCCCTGGTCAAAAAGGAATACAGGTATTTCATTAATTTAATTAGTTGCTTGAGTACTAAATAAGTCTTACTGATTACTGTGATAGAACCAATAATAAAAATGGCCCATTTTAGATTCAGTGTTTCTCTGATCACTACCCCAAACATAATACCATACTGGAGGCATGAAAGTCCTTTTGTTGTTGATAGTTCTGAAGTTGCATCTGCCCATTGTGACCCCATCGACAACATTCCTCCAGGCCTCCACCATCCCCCATTGTCCACGTAAGCTCACACCAACTGCTTCAGTGACTCCATCTAGCCATCTCATTCTCTGCCACCCACTTCTTCTTTTGCTGTCAATTGATCCTAGCATTAGGCTCTTCTGCAGTGACTCCTTCCTTCTCATTAGGTGGCAAAAGTATTTGAGTTTCATCTTCAACATCTGGCCTTCTAAAGGGCAGTCAGGGTTAATCACCTCTAAGACTGACTGGTTTGATCACCTTGCAGTCGAAGGGACTCGCAGGAGTCTTCTCCAGCACCACAATTCAAAGGCCTCAATTCTTCAGCGCTCAGCCTTCCTTATGGTCCAGCTTTCACAGCCATACATTGCAACTTAGAAAACCATAGATTTGACTATATGCACATTTCTTTCCTATCTGTTTGCCAGGAAGTGATAGGACCAAATGCCATGATCTTAGTTTTCTTAATGTTGAGTTTCAAGCCAACTTCTGTGCTCTCCTCCTTCACCTGCATCAAGAGGCTCTTTAGTTCAACTTCATTTTCTGCCATTAGAGTGGTATCATCTGCATATCTGAGGTTGTTATTTCTCCCAGCAATCTTAATTCCAACTTGTGATTCATCTAGCCCCACCTTTCTCATGATGCACTCTGCATATAAGTTAAATAGGCAGGATGACAGTATACAGCCTTGCCAAACTCCTTTCTCAGTTTTGAACCAATCAGTGGTTCCATGTCCAGTTCTCACAGTTGCTTCTTGACCTGCGTATTGGTTTCTCAAGAGACAAATAAGATGGCCTATTCTATTGTTTTCTTCTATTTCTTTACACTGTTCATTTAAGAAGACATTCTTATCTCTTCTAGCTATTCTCTGGAATTCAGCATTTAATTGGGTGTATCTTTCTCTTTATCCCTCACCTTTTGCTTCCCTTCTTTCCTCAGCTATTTGAAAGGTTTCTCAGACAGCTATTTTACTTTCTTGCATTTCTTTTTCTTTGGGATGGTTTTAGTTGCTACCTCTTGTACAATGTTGCAAACCTCTGTCCATTGTTCTTCAGGTACTCTGTCTATCAGATCTAATTCCTTAAATCTTTGTGTCACCTCTACTGTACATTCATCAGGAATAAAATTTAGACGTCGCAGCGAGATGGCTGTGGAGAACGGGGATCCTGTACTTCACGTTGAAATCTGTTCCACAGAGGGCCCTGGGAGGCCCATCCAAGCCCTGTTCGGGCAGGCATTAGAAGCCCGAGCATACTTCGGCCTGGTGGGGGGCGGCGGTCCCCCACCTGCCGGGAGAAATTCGGGGAAATTCTCAATGAACGGAGAGAGAGGGGTGCACCCCCCCCCCACAAGCTGCTGGCACCGGTTTACTAGCGAAGAAAAAAGAAGCTTAAAAGTGGGCATCGGACCTGCTGGGTGAGCATTTAAATCTTTCAAAATGCGGCTCATGAAAGAACCTATGAAATAATCAGTCTGAAGAACAAAAGAAAGGCCCTCTTGATGGAGGGAGGAAACTTCTCCGGGAGACTGAAATCTCCCATAATTACTGTGTTCCTCCCCTGAGATATCCTTAGAATCTGGTCTGTCAGGACATCATCCAGGGTCTCAAGTTGACCTGGAGGACGATAACATACCCCCACTGTCAGGCCTCTTTCCCTGGCAAAACCCCTAAGTTTCACCCAGACTTCCTCTACCGAATCCCCATCTGTGCTGCATTCTATCTCACTGCATCCTATCCCTTCCCTGACGTATAAAGCCATGCCCCCACCCCTCTTTCCTTTCCTGTCCTTTCTAAAAAGGTGATACCCTTCTATGTTCACGTTCCAGACTTGCCTTTCATCCCACCAAGTTTCTCTGATTCCCACCAGATCATACCCTCCTATTTCCAGGAGAGCTTCAAGCTCTTCCTGCTTATTACCCATGCTCCTAGCACTGGTGTACATGTACTTCAACTTCTTCCCATCGCTTCCTTTCTTTGGAGTCCCCAGCCTCCTCCTTCCTCCCATCCTCCCTGATACCTGGCCCCTCCCTTTAGGAGTCCTGTCAGTCCCTGCAGTATCTCTAAAACCCTGCTCCCAGAGCCCTGATCCTCCCCCCACACTTGTCCAGTGCAGACACATTACTAGGGGGCCTGAACCCCCCCCCCAGCTCAGTTTAAAGTCTTCCAGACAAAGCTCGCTAGAGCATCTCCAAAGGACCTTTTCCCCATCCTCGTGAGGTGCAACCCGTCCCTTGCCAGAAATCCATTGGCAAGAAAACGAGTGCCGTGGTTGAGGAACCCGAAGCGTTCCTTCTGGCACCACACCCTAAGCCAGTCGTTCACCTCGGAGGCCCTCCTGTCCCTTCCTGGCCCAAATCCTCGGACAGGTAAGATTGACAAGAAGGCCACTTGGGCCTTCAGCTCCCTGAGTTTCTTCCCCAAGGCCTCAAAGTCCCTGGTGGTCCCAACCACACCCTGCCTGGCCACATTGTTTGTGCCCACATGGATCACCATGAGCGGCTGGTGACCCCCAGACCGAACAAGACGCTCCACTCTGTCCTTCACATGCCAGATGCATGCGCCCGGCAGGCAGCAAACCTCCCTTGTCTCCGGGTTGGGGCGGCACACTGCCGCCTCAGTGCCCCTCAGCAGGGAGTCCCCAACAACAATCACCTGCTGCTGTACCTTCCTGGTGCTGGTGGTCGGCCGTGCCCTGGCCCTTGCCTCTCCTGCAGTGGCCCCCTTGCCGCTTGACGTCTCAGGCTGGGGGTCCTGCTGGTCCCCCGAGGCCTCATCAGCCCCAGCCTCCCCAAGTGGAGAGAACCTCTTTCCCAGCTCCAGATTGGTGCCAGGAGAAGGAAGAGGCCATGCTGGCCTCCTCCTCCTGTGGGTGACATACCTCCATGTCTCCGCAGCTACTCCTCCCGTGGCCTCTCCCTCAACCCTCTGTCCAGAAGGGGGCTGCTCCAGGGGGGCCTGGAGAGCTCTCTCGGCCCTCAGGCACCTCACCTCCTCTTCTAGCAGGGTCACCATCTTGCACCGAGGGCAAGTGTATCCCTGCCTCTCTTGGGGGAGAAGGGCGAACATGTCGCAGCTGTCACAGCGGACAACAACACCCATGACTCCTGCCAAGGCCATCTCCTGGTCTGCCATTGGTATCCCTTCCAAGACCCTACCTTGGTCCCCTGCCTTGTTTGTCCTGCAGTTCCTCTCACTCGCCCAGTTCTCCCAGGCAAAAACCCACTCACACACACACACACACAAGGATAAAATACACTTAAACTGGAAGAAAAACAAAGCACAGCACAGCACAAACAAAAAAAACAAAGAAACAATCAAACCTCTGTGTCTCAGGGAAGGGAGTCTCCGGACAGCCCGGGCCGCAGCTAAGGGACACAGACAAGGGACGACGCCTTAGCAGTCCCTCAGGCCGGTGGCCCCACCTGTCTGCTTCCTCCTGGCTGCTCTAACCTCTCTGGCCCCACCCCCCTTCCTCTCTGCTGTTCCTGGCCCTCTGCTCCCCTGCCCAGCTCCTACCTTGCCTTCGCTAGTCCCCTGGCCACTCAGCATTCTCTCCCAGCCTGTGCCTTTGCTGCTCTGCCAAGAGGCAGGACATGCTCCAATGGAGCAAAGCTCAGGGAGCCAAGGTTCCATTTGGATGCCAGGAAGCACTTCCTGACAGTCAGGACCCCAAGGGTGTGGAATGGGCTTCCACAAGAGGTCGTTGAGGCCCTATCGGTGCGGGTGTTCAATGATAGACTGGACGTCCACATGGTTGGCATGTCGTGAGCGGAGCCAGCTGGTGCCGGAGGTCAGACTAGATGGCCAGGGAGGCCCCTTCTGACTCGCTCTGTTTCTATGTTTCTCCCTGTGGAGTTCAAGCGGTGACGAATCTAGGGGAGATTAAGTGAAACTGGGGAAATTTGAGACTTGGAAGAGAAGAGGTTTTTTTTTTTAATGTTTAATCTCCCCAAGGGCGAAGAATTAAATTTGAATTTATTGTATATTAATTGTTTGAAAAAGTTCTCTTTCTGTTTCATTTCTATATATACGGAGATTTGATTGTTCCAGTTTCTGCAGCAAATAATCTTTTGCTGCCACCCTGTGGTCATTTTATCCTTTAACAGATACATTGTTTGCCAAAAAAATTTTTTTCTTTTTTTTCTCTCTCTGTGATTTTTTGCTGCTAGTTAGTGGCCATTTAGTACCACAGCAGGTTATTCAATTAAACTCTTCACTTTCATCATGGAAAAAATTCACCCATCCTCTGCTTCCCAAAGCCCAACACATCAGTTAAAAACTGTGGATTTGGGAAAATCCCTAAAAGACATACAAACAACACTTTTGGCAATACAAGCATCTCTAACTTCTCAAGTGTCTGTGCAAAATGCTATACAAGAATTTGCTTTGGAACAAAGGAAAGGATTGATAAATTGAATAGTCATATGTTGAAGATAATGAATCAACTTGCAGGTTCCTGTATGAAAATAAAACAAAATGAACAAAAGACACAAGAGGTGAAAAAGAAGGTTGATGATTCTGATAAGAAAATTGAAAAGATGGATCAAGAGACTCAACATCTAACACAAATAAGTCATTATGGGATTCAGTTGCTTTATTGGAGAGGTTTCAGAATACACCAGAAGCAAAAAATAAAAACCTAAGTGGTTTAATAAACATTATGCTAGCAGATGCTCCTGCTTTGGAAAAGGAAGAGATTGATAAACAGCTTGATCTGGTTTATGGAGTCAACTTAAGCTATGTTAGAATTCATACATTTCTGAGGGAGAATGGATAATACTCTAAGGGAATTTTATATCTTG